AATCGTCAATTTATTAAATTTATCTCATACTAAAATTGTGTCATACACGTTATTATATTAGCAAATGGACACTTATAATATGACACCTCATTTGTTCTTTAATCATTTAGATAATTTGAAATGGAAAGAATGTATTTGTAATATAAAAATTTATAAATATTACCTATTTTAGTAAGACGGGTTTTCTCTTTTTTAATTAGTCTATATTTCTTATTTAGAATTTAATTTTTTTTTTAAATGTTTGTTAATATTGACACGTGTCACAATCAAAATTAAAAATTACAAGTGTCATAATCTGGTGAGTTAGAATTTTGCATATGTGTCGCGTTATCATATCGCGCATTTTATATAAGATATAAAGTACATAAGTTGATCCCAAAAAACTTCTCGTAAACTATTACGTAATTCGGTTCGAGTTTAGATTGGTTCAATTTGAGTCATTTATTTTTCTTTATACAAAATATTGTACAAACGGATCTCAGATTTTGTATAATAATTCATTCAATAACTACAACTGGTTTTTTTAACTAAGCTGATACTAATTTTTCAATGTTAACCTTTCACTTTTGTACATAGCGCGTGCAAGTTCCTACCATGTCGATGATTCTACATTATCGAACGGAATATAAGAGGAATTCAAGCCGAAAATGTTTGATTTGAAGTTGCAAACGTAGACTACGTCCTTCCCAACACCAATGAAGAGTTGAATAACAACTGCATCAATAGATAAAACATCTATTTGACCAAAAGGAATCATATCAGTTAGGAATACTACAAACACTAGATATGGAATCAACAACGCAAGGTCATGGTCGCCTACTCGAGTGTGTGTGATGGAGCAACGACGATGCTTTACTGGCATTTCAAATCGCTTTTCATTTTGTGGAGAAGGGGCATATCACATGGTCATCTAATGGAGTGTGTGTCATGGACAACATTTTGTTCTTTTACCACACTTGTAAAGGGTGTATGACACATCAACGAAAAATTGGAAAGTTGTCTCCAATTCTACATTTGAAGAGAAGAATGGTAGTGAGTGGATGTATGTGCACTGAAAGAATACTACGGTAAGTTGGCTCTTTTGTGGACAAATCTACCTCTTTGGGAAATGAGGCTTAATAGGCATGTCTCTTTAGATAGAGACAGTGATAGTAACGATGTTTGGTGCACTATGATCACTCTACACAGGGATGGAACATAAATTCACAGAGACGTCGGGCCATCTAAACTTGTTGGCACTATACCACGCAATTATCGGTTGAGTAAATTTGTGTTTGTGATTGTTTGAATTTGAATTTTCTCTTCCATTACGTATGCAGCCTATAGGTTCTAAGATTGAAAATTCTCTCATAAAACATGTTTGACTTTTGGATGATATTCTTTTTTCAAGTACATTTACATGCTCATGACAGTACATCTCTCTCTCTCCACTGTTCTTATATGTGTTACAGTAAATTTTAGCACCCTAGTCACGATAAAAGTTCAGTAGATACTCTACGGATTTGGTATTGCAGTTCCTAACTACAATTCACTGGTTTATTTAATAGGGATGGACATATTACCCGAATCCAAATC